CATTTTCATTGTTTCCTCTGTATAGTCAGTTCCCCCTGTTGTCTGTGTGGGTCCTTCACACAGCAACAGGGGAGAGAGGGGGAAAAAGCTTTTTTAAAAATTAGGAAAATGATATTCTAAATGGACAAACATTGGCAGAGGGATTCAGAGGCAGACATGGGACCTCAAACTACTTTAACTCCAATTTTTAAACAGACTAGATTTCAAGTTGAGGGTGTCCCTTTAAACCCCACTAGTCCCAGGTACATTCCCTGCACTCGGTACAATATTTGTGTTTTCTATCCAGGGGCTAACTCAGGCGGGATATTTTCAGCCCAGATGGACTGACACAAACCATTACATCATCCCTATTTCTGCACCATCCCATAGCTGTGCTGTCTCACACGCTCACTTCTCACTCTACAGGTGCTCAGTGCTCTCTTGATCTTTCCTCCCTTCCTTATTGCCCTGCAGCCATTGGCTACAGGGGATTAGACTTTGATTGGACATCCCTCATTAATGGTTACCATACTGTTTGAAGGGAAACATTGTGAGGACTACGCTAATTTATTTTCTCTATGACAACAGCACAGCAGACACGCCAAAGACACATGCCCAGCTCCACATGACCACTTCCACCGCGTTTACTGAAGCCCAGCGGCTGGAATACAACACCAGGCTAGTGGTATTGGTATCAAAAATGAGATATGAACAGTGGAACTAAAAGCTTACAAAACAGCCCAAGAACAGGACCCATGCCTCCATCTGTGGTGCCTTTAGATAGAAAAACTGCCCTTCTCTAGCAGGAAGATGCCTACTTCGTCTGGTGTAAAAAACAATTGGGAGTGATTGAACACTCTCCAGAACGAGGAGACTACAAGGGGTGGAAACAAAAATAAGGAGGGGGAGATTAACTACTTATCTTGTTCAAGATCCTGCAAGTAGCTCCATGCAGGCAGAATCCTGGGCTTTTGTAATCTCTTTGCTGGATCAGGGCTCTAACTGGTAACATACTAGGTGCTCATTTACCATGGTTATAAGCACAACATTGATGCCTAGACTGATAGATGCTTAGATCGATAGCAGTGAACCATGAACAAAGCAATATGAGTTTATAAAGTCCACTGTAAATCTTGACAAACTCGATTGCTTTTTGAGTGGGGACAGAATTGCAAAGTTAGCAAATGAAAGAAAGGTTGTAGATGATGTAATAAGTTTAGATTTAGGAAATCATTTGCTTCTCTTCCGGGAAATCATAACTGAAAAATTAATTCAGATTGACTCGTATAGCAACACTCACGTGAATGGGAAATTGGCATAAAGGTTGTAAAGGGGAATTATAAATAACAATGCATCAAGGAGGCTGCGGTGTTTGTTGAGGAGTTGCAGGGATCGGTGTTAGTCCAGTTTTATTTAAACATCTTAATTAATGATTTGGAAGACTGAATAAATGTCACATTAACATAATTTGCAGATGATGCCAAATCAAAGTTACAAACACCAGTGAAGAGATTATTTAAAGGGGCCGACGGAGCTTAGAAACAAACAAGAACAGAAAAAAGCAGAACAAGATTTTAGGTGAAAAAATTAAAGCCAGTACAATTAGGGGGAAATGGCATGATATACAATGTGGGGGGGAAACCTTGGAAGCAGCACTGGTTAAAGACACCCTAAAATGGGCATACAGAACAAATCAGATATGAGTTTGGAAGGCAGTATGGCTGCGTAAATTATCAATGTCATTTTGTCAGACATCACTTCACTTGAAGAGACACTTTTCCTCTCTTTAGGCTTGGCATGACTATGTCTGAAATAGTGTATTTCATCCTGGAACCCATGTCACCATAAGGGTGATGACAAATTGGAGAGAGTTCAGAGAAGAGTAGCACAAACGATCAGAAGCTTGGAAGAAATGATTTATGAGGAGAGATTAAAAGTATAGGTTGGTTACAAAAGGGCTGAGAGGGACGTGATAACAGTTCACAAGTACTTAAAGGGTGTAAACACCATGGAGAGAAAACAATGGATTACCTAATGCGGTACACTGAGGCATAAACAGAAGTAATGGAATGTTAAGAAAAAGAAAATTAGTCTGAATATTGGGAGAACGTTCCTGCCTGTGACACATATTAGGGTATGGAAAAGCCTCTCATGGGAAGTGGTGGAAGTTCTATCACGTGGCATGTTAAAAACCAGATTGGACAAAACATGATCAAATGGGGTTTAAGGGAACAATTCTGCATTGCATCCCACCTCCCAAGAGATGGATGATGGGTTGGAGGATGTAATTGGTCTTTAATTTCTATGAACAGATAAGGCTGAATTGCTGCTTCCCTCTGAAATATCCTAATGGCCTGGTCAGAGAGAGTTAACTTTCTGAACTCCCTCAGGGCTAACTAAGCTCAGTTGCTACAGAACCAAGAATTCAAAGACACAGCCTTATCAATGGCACACCTGAATTTTAGATGTAAAAACTTACACATAATAGGGGACAAAAGCTGGGAAGACGACTGTAACAATCACTCAGAACAGTGTGTCTTGCGCATAAGTTACTGTGAACACTTTACTGTTCAACAGCCACCCCAGTCCTCTGTATAGCGTTCTTCACACTAAAGTCAAGTGACTTAGACAGAAAATCCCAGAGCATATTCTTACAATTCTTTGTTCTAAACCTTTTGCTGTCTCTGATCCTCTTCTCCATAATGTGACACACAAGAACAGTCACTGGCTGATGGAAACCCTCCAGAAACTGTCAGTGCTGCTGTGATATTGGTTTCCATTAAAGTTCTAAACTAGTTGTTTTTATTTTCATATATTATTTTAATAGTTTTTTTAAAAAAGAAAAAGACTTCAAAATACAAAATGCAAGAAAGTGAGAAGGCGTAGAAGAGATTCCTATCACCTGATATCAACAGGAAATCTCACACTTTCTAATTTATTGTATTCTGGTTGAACTCTGAATTTCTCTGGGAAAAAACAACCAAGCAAATATATTTGATATGATCAGCTGGCAATTTCCACTTAAAGTCCCTTTTTGCCCAGTGGTCTTAGACAAGTATATACCCTGTAGTCCAGTGAGTGAGTGGAAAGTCCAGGCCAGAATTTAGGGAAACCCTGTAAGGTGACATTATGTAGCAACAGGCAGCAGGCTGCCTTTGTAAGTCTAGGCGCTAGAGAGCCAGTGAGAACCACAAAGTCTGTCTGTGTCCAGCACCCTCAATAAAGAACCCCCTTACAGCCGAGTCCAGTCTCTTCTCTACCGTGAGAAAAACTACCAAGATAGAACGCTTACAGCAGAGCAGCAGCCCTTCTAATCAGGTCCCAGTCCTTATTGTTCAGCCTCTCTACCCCTTCTTCTGTGCTTCTCACTCCTCCCCATTACCCAACGCCCTGTCCTGTTGTCTGTTTCCCTCCCTAGGAGCAGAGACAATGAACCCTCTGACATCTCCACCGACAGATGGACAGACAGACAGGTGGATACATGGTTCCTGCAATGTTGCGCACAGACAGCAAGATCAAGTCTGGTGGCAGCCGATCTTTTCCAAGCGGCAGGAAACAGAAACAAAACCAGGCTCCTTCCACGCTATGTTTAACAAGGATTTGGTGTGGTTTATTTGCGGAGGAGTGACACCGATTTCAGCTTTTAAAGACTAACAATCACTCGAGGCCAAGTTTCCGTAAAAAAAACCCCAATCCCACTTTATATTTATAGAATCCTTTCACCCCCAAAACACCCACAGGACTTCACCACTTTAAATACAGACAGGGACCCCTTCAATCCTGGCTGCAATGTACTTAACCTCCGGGGTGAAACACAGGAGTGGTTTTTAAGTAGAACCTTCCACACATGAGAAACGATCAGTAAACCCCCCAACTCCGCTCATCCTGCTCCATTTTTGAATAATGGATGCCCAAAGAACATTCTCTCACCCTTATGGAAAAGTCCCACAGGAATTCATAACTTTCCTGTAGGTTTGTGGCCCACCCTATAGAAGTTAAATGTAACCAGAGAATTGCATTCCTGGTGCACAGAATAGTAACACAATGTAAACCGCTCACTAAAAGGTGCTCACTCTATTGAATTCTAAGGGACTTTTCCATAAGCACTGCTAACTATTTTCTTCCAGAGCAGCAAGTTCCTCCAGTTTGGGAAGTGAAAGGGGGGAGACGGCCAGCAGCCTCCATCAGTTTCCCGATCTCTTTCTTTGTACATTTGTGCCTTTCTCCTTCCGCCTTCCCCAAGGCCCCCTTCACCCTCCTCTCCCCCCACGCACCCCCATCCCCCACCCCCTTGGCCGCTGGGGGGGGGGGTGTGAAATCGCATTTCCTGACCTGGAGAGTCGAGGCCGGCGCTTGTTCCCTACATGCGGAGGAACCGGCTTCAAACCCGCTTCCCCTTTTCTGCCTTCAGCTCCGGGACTTGCTGCCAAAGGCAAGGAGGAGGGTTACTCCCGCGGTGTGGCTCGAGCTCGCTCCCCACCCCCTCTTCTCGGCGGTGGGAGTCGGGGCCCGGGGGCGGAGGGGCAGGAGCAGCCGCTGTCCGCGCGCCGCAGGACCGGACCTGGCGAGCGCGCCGCGTCCGGCACAAACTCCTTGGAGCGGCTCCGCCCCGCGCTTGCTGGGCTCCCCTTCCCAGCTCCCCGAGCAACAGCGGGAAGTTGGGATCGGGGCGGGGGGGGGCAGAGACTGGGCAGCCGCGGCTGGGCGAGAGGGAGGGAAGCGGCCGGAGCCGGCGGGCCGAGGGGAAGGCACCCACCTGGCGAGCGGAGGGGGGCGCTGGAGGCTCCGGGAGGGGGCCGGGCCGCTCCCACCCCCCGGGCGGCGTGTGGCAGGAGCAAGGCAGGAATGCGAGGAATGAGGCTGGTATGAAATGCACGCAGCCGGGGGAGGGGGCCGGCGGGCGGGGCGGAGTTGGGAACAAAACTGACCAGGGCTCGCCTCTGGCCAGGGCTGGGGGAGGGGGAGGAGACTGAGACTGAGACTGGGGGGGGGGCAAGAGGAAACTCCCGGCAGCCGCAGGGGCCCGGAGTTCGCTCCCGCGGCCGGAGCTAGGGCTGGGCATGGAAGAGCCGCAGGGGCAAAGCGGAGGCGGCGGCAGAAATCACGGCAGCGAGGGGGTGGCCAACCCTCCAGGATTGTCCTGGAGTCTCCAGGCAGTCAAGGTGATTCTGTAATTAAGGAGTCCGTCATGTAGGGTGAGCAGGCGTCCCGAATTTGTAGGGACAGTTCCTGTGTTTCGGGGCTTTTTCATACACGGGCTCCTATTAGCCCCCGCCCTGATTTTTTTCACACTCGCTGTCTGGTCACCCTACCGCCATGGGAGGAAAGCTCCAGGAAACTGTCCCACCGAAACTGGCGACCCTGGGGCGACTGTCCTCGCTGGCCCGTGGTGGGCCGCAGGCGAGCAGGGCGGGGCTGGCAGAGCCAGCCGCACATGGGGCTGGGCGGGTTTGTGACCCACGCTGGTGGGGTGCGCTGGGAGCCCCTGGCCTCCCCTCGGGAAGGACTTTGGAAGCGGGCTTGTTCAAAGGCCAGGGAGTGAACATTTCAAAACCTCGCCTCAGGGAGTTCTGGTGTGTCACTCACTGAACAACAGTGACAGGAAAGAGGTGTAAATAGTTTCATGAGCTAAAACCTGGCTGTGGTTATTTTGTAATAAATATTAACACACATTGCAAGTAGCCTCACGGGTGTGAGAAGGAGGTTTGTGATCGATTCCCTCCCCGCCTCAAGCACCACCTCCAGTGCAGGCAGGAGCAGCTCCCACATCCCCCTGCTGAGCACTCCTTTTTAGTAGGCCTCATTCCCATGGGGGAGCGGAGACAGAAAGGCCACTAAAACATTCCCTTTCCATAAGCATTTGATTTTCCGATGCTTTCTAAACTCTCTGTCCCTGAGGTGCATAAGTAGGGGCCCAATGTCCTGCAACAGGGGACAAAGGCTAAAAAAAACTTTACTGGCCCCAGAGATAGCACTTCCAAGCAACATGGCATCCACTACCCAAGTAGTTTTCCAACTTTTTTTCTGGCGACCCAGTTGAAGAAAATTGTTGATGCCCGTGACCCAACGGAGCTGGGGATCAGGGGTTTGGGGTGTGGGAGGGGATCAGGGCTGGGCAGAGGGTTGGGGTGCAGGGGTGAGGGCTGTGGAGTGGGGCTGGGAATAAGGGATTCCAGGTGTGGGAGGGGGCTCTAGGCTGGGCCAGGGGGTTGGGGTGTGGGAAGGGGTCAGGGCTCTGGGCTGGGGGTACAGGCTCTGTGGTGGGGCTGGGGATGAGGGGGTTGGGGTGCAGGAAGGGGCTCCAGGTTTGGGGGGGAGTTGGGGCACAGGCTTACCTCTGGCGGCTCCCGGTCAGCAGCGCAGCTGGGGTGCAGAGGCAGGCTTCCAACCTGTCCAGGCACAGCGGACTCCGCTGCGCTCCAGAAGCAGCCAGCAGGTCCGACTCCTTGGCAGAGGCACACGAGTGGCTCCATGGTCACCCTTAGGCACTGCCCCCCCCCAGCTCCCATTGGCCAGTTCCCTGAGTGCTGAGCAAGGCGACCCAGTGTCTTGCATTTTGTGACCCAGTACTGGGTCGCAACCCAAACTTTGAAAACCACTGCACTACCCCATGCTGGGACACTGGGGTCAGCACAGAGTCAGAAGGAATACAGCACCTCCTCTCAAGTTATCCACCCCACTCCCTGAAACACAGAACCCTGCAATGCAGGGGTGGCCAGCCTGAGCCTGAGAAGGAGCCAGAATTTACCAATGTACATTGCCAAAGAGCCACAGTAATACGTCAGCACCCCCATCAGTTGCTCCCCCTGCCCCCACTCCGACCCACCAGCAGCCCTGCCAATCAGAGCCTCCCCCTCCCTCCCCGCACCTCCTGATCAGCTGTTTCCTGGCATGCAGGAGGCTGGGGGGGGAGGGGGGAAAGGGGTGGAGTGGGGGCAGGGCCTGTGGCAAAGCCAGGGGTTAAGCAGTGAGCACCCCCTGGCCCATTGGAAAGTTGGCACCTGTAGCTCCAGCCCCGGAGTCAGTGCCTGTTCAAGGAGACGCCTACTAATTTCTGAAGAGCCGCATGTGTCTCCGGAGCCACAGGTTGGCCACCCCTGCTGTAGTGCTATGCAGGGAGACATTGGGGTCAGTACTGACTAAGAAGAAAGAGCCCCTCTCTACTGAGTCACCCACACCACTCCCTGCAACACAGCCAATTCTTTCACTTTCATTTTACATAAAAACACTTCACCCTTGTGCACATTTTCATATTCAAAGCACTTGACAAACATCTACCTAACCCTCTCAGAAGACCCTACAAAGTAGGTTAGTTTAATGAGGAAGGCAAATGCAGGGCAGAACAACTTTACTGACCCTTTGAACTTACGAACAGTGGGAGATATTCTTATGTGCCAAGATGGCACTTTTCTCCATTTTACAACTGGGGAAATTGAATCCTGGTCTATACTTAAAAATTTTACAAGTGTTACTATGTCATTTGGGGGGTGATTTTTTTTTTAAAAACCAATATAGCTATGCCAGTAAAAGCCCTACTGCAGACAGTTATACAATATAACTGTGCTTACACTGGTATCGCTTATGCTGGTTTCATAGAGTATAGATTTCGTAGAGTTTAAGGCCAGAAGGGACCATTAGATCCTCTAGTTTGACCTCCTGCATAACACAGGCTGTACATTTAACCCAAATGCCCCTACGCTGAGCCTGATGACTTCATTTAAACTAAAGCATTTTAGCCCTCAGGTTCCCCAAACCAGAGTATTTTATACCAGTATAACTACAGCTACACTAAAGGGGTTTGCCAGTGTAGCTATACCGGAATAACAATACCAACTAGTGTAGCTAAGACCTGAGTCAGAGAGTTAAAATTTCTCAGCAGCATTGCGGACTCCAGTGATTAAGTCCCACCTTGTGGGGGCACATGACTATGTGAGTATCTCAGCTTTCCTCCTTTCTTTCAAAGTAAGCTCCTAGCCCTTGTGGTTGTGGAGATGAGCTTGAAAATGTCCCTACGTGCAATATACATAAACATTACTTTGCTTTGTAATTAGATACAATTAGAATTTTTATTTTTATTTTCTCTTCGAATGCAGAGAGGCCACACACATTTTCTAAGTCATACAATGTTAGGTAATATCCATGTACATAAAGATATGACTGGTAATTTAAAATAAACCATATATTCTGTGTGGTATTATTCTACACAGTAAACTCAAGTGTGTGTTGCAGTTTTCCTTTAAATGTATACCTGTAATGAGCCCATTTAGCCACTGTGGGTCTCTGCTAAACCATGTGAAGATTAAAAACGGATGTTTAAAGTGCAGTACTACTGTGAAAAATGACTTTGTAAAAATGGCATGTTATTACTCATTACGTCTGCTCCCTATGTGTATTGAAGGTCAGATCTGCTGACTTTGTGGCTAATGTACATTTTTTCTCCTGTTCGCCCTGCAGAGTCAACACAGCTCAGAAAGGGAGCTGAATTTTATTCCTTCCTGTGAATCAACAACAGAATTGTTCACCAAATTCCAGTCACTTACAGTTGCAGAAACCCACTGAAATGAATGGGCTTTCACCTGTGTCACTAAGGGTAGAATTTGGCCTGTAGAATCTTTAGTAGTGGAGATGATGTGCAAGGAAAGAACTCGACAGAGCACGCAAATGGAGTTTGATTGGGGTGGTCAGAAGTAGTGGAATCTTTTTTCCTGTTAACTGAACAGGTTTGATATACAGCTATTGACAGACAAATATGGAATCCATCATGCCATTTTTAGGAATTGGTTTTCAGAGAAAAACTGCACTCTAAGGGTAGTTCTAAGTTCTCTTTTATAAATGGGGCTCTCAATTCAAGTTAAGAAAATCATTCTTTGTTCACCTTTGTATTTTAAGCTCCCTGTTTTATTGTAGCATAGTTCAGTGGTTCTCTTTTTAAACCATCACTTTCCTTTTATCAAAGCAAATGAGATCAGATCCCACCTTCAAATCTAGTGGAAACAACATTCATTCATATATATCAACTGCCAATTATATGTTAAAACACCTATGTACAATCGGAATAGTTTTTACCTTGACACATTTTAGTGAAAAGGATCACAGAGCTTATCTAGGTGTGGAAAGATTTATCCAAACTGAAACAGGAAAATGACTTCTGAGTCCCAGCAGGGGAACAAGAACTCCCTGGAGAACAGGACAAGAGAACAGAACGGGGAGACAGGGACCGTAGCCTGAACATGGTGGAAGACACAAGAACAAGAACTCCTGAGAAGCCTCTGACTTTTAGCCTGTTTTCACCTTTATGGTAAGGCTGACCTCTATTACTTGAGCTAAATAAGTAATTGATAGGAGTAGTTGGCTCTTATCCTCCATGTCAACCAGCCACTAGGGGGGGGATACAACAAATACTTCATCAGTAGCCCACACCCATGCCCAGTTCTATTTCTAGCTCTGGAAGGGGTGGGATATAATGGTTACAGACAGCACTCAAACCCATAGATTTGACACATTCCTTCAGAAAAGCAGTGTGGATGAGACTTGGGTATGCTGTTTTAGACAGGGCTCTATCCCCAGCTCTGACTGCAGTGACCTCCTACAAACTCCCAGCTCTCCATCTGTGAAAAGGGTGGGGTGGGGGAATAGTTGTTTGCCGCCTTTGTTACTCTTTTTCAGTAACAATAGCTGTGAAGTGCACAGAGTTATTAATACCAGTCAGTAGAAGAGCATGTTGTGTGGGTGTGCTTTGTCATCATGTTATACTTTTAAATAATAGAGTCTGAGTCTACTCCTATTGATATCAACACTTCAATGCAAGCAGGATTGAGCCATAAAAGAGCAAGAAATTAATACTCCTGCCTTTGATGTGTGTCAGCTGGAGACCTCACAGCACCTTGGAGCTGCTGCATTCTGAGTCCTGCTATGAGGATTCACACTGCACAGTAACATTTGCTTCCTGTACCCAGCCTGTTCTTGGAGTTTTCTGGGTGTTGTGTTTGATGTGGGAGTGAGAGCGTGATATTACAGCAGTCAACACAGTGCTTTAGAGATAGCAACTGCCTGCTGCTGATCTGTGAGACAGACACAGAGCAGAAAGTGCCTGCACCGTGTATCCATTCTGACGGAGCTGGAGAGAAATGGGCATGATTGTTCAACCTGCATTCAGAACCGGGGCCTGCAAAGTTAGATCTCCCCTATGGCAAGTTTTAAGTCACTGGAACAAGGACGTTTGCCCTCTGTGAGGCAGACACTTACTTCTCTTCATATCACCCCAGTAAAGATACCCTCAGCTCAGTACTGCCCCTCTTTACCTCACACTATTTCAATCCTGTTCCAGAATTGCACCATGTGACACTTGGACAACAGGAGGGGCTTGGAGCAAGCGACCAGGGCTGGGTAAATATTTCCAATGCACCCCCTCAGGAGCCCAGGTCTGAAGCTGGAAACAGCAGCCATAACACTTGAGAGAGAAGGGGTGTGCGGGGCAGGAGAATCAAGGGGAAGAGAGTGAACAAATAGCAAGCAGCGTGGAATGGTGCACAAGGGAAATTGATAGTACTTGTGTTTCCAAGGTGATTCTCACACGTCTAAATATTTGTAAAACCAGTATTGAGGAGAAGTGTGGGGGACAAGTGAGGAGAGAATGATACAGAACGAAGAGAGATGGAGTGGAGGGAGACAAGGAGAAAAAGAGAGGTAGCCAAAGGAGGGGAGAGAGAGAGAGAGATATCAGAGCTGACAGGAACTACCATATGCAGCAAAAATCCTATAGTACAAGATAAGAACAATTCAGAGTTTAGGGTTTTGTTTTTTATAAATTACTTTATTTTCATTAGAGTACAAAAGTTATAAATACAATTCATGTAGAACAATGTTTGACCAAAAAGCACTGGATGTTTCTGCAGAGCAAAAAAAAAGCTTGGAAGCAGCAGGCAGCACACAAAGCCAGCCTCTCAGTCATGTAGGTGGACCTTAGGCACACAGAGCAGCAACAGAGTGAGTGAAGAACCCAAACAGAATGGGGCAGGGCACTGAAGCCTCCAATATATAAAATGTCTGAAAGCAGCTGAGAAGAGGTAAATGCCCACCTCCTGCATTGCTATTGCCTCTTCAAATGGTAAAAGAAACAGACCCATGCTTCTGTCCACATTAGGGTTGACACCAAGATACCCAGAGTCAGATTTAAATGTGATAGAGCGTACCATTTCCCTGAGCAGCGTGCACTGGGATTTCTGTCTGAAAATAAGGCTTTTAGTTTGACCCCACAGACAGCTGATAGGACTGTTTCCTAGCACAACAATATCACCCTTTTTAGAAAAATTCCCTGCTGGAGGTTATCAGAGAAACCATGCTCGGACCTGCTAGCAATAACCTGTGTTTAAACACAGTTGTGGCTAACACACTTTAATGCTAGTGTGAGCAAGCTCATTGTGTACAGTCCCTTTAAAAAAAAACAACAACCACCTCAAAAACTGAGACAGACGAAAGAGTTTCAATACTAGAAGGTAAGTGAAGGGTCACATGCCCACAGTATAGAAAGCACCTCAGAAGAGACAAGAAATTCGGTCATCTGTCTGTACAACTTGATGAGGAAACCTAAAGAATCACAGGCACTGACTTAGCCGTAGTCAATTAAGCTCACCCATGGGTTTACCACCTTGAATTAGTTTGAGAGAGCCCTTGCTGACTGGCCCAGTTGGAGAGATGAACCAGGCAGTTGCAGGGCGGCTTGCTAAGCACAAAGAAACTTTTTCTGGACTAGCAATTAATGCACTGCCTACAAATAACCCCAGGCGAACATAAACTAATTTTCTACATCTGGTCCTAGTTATAAAGTAATTGTGACAGAGGCATTATGAACTGGTTTCTTGGCTTTTCTGGGTAGATACAGGGAATGCAGAGCAGTCAGTTGGGAGCACAAGAGAGCACAAGTGGGAGATGCATGCGGGAAGTGCATGAAGGCACAAAAGAGGTACCTGGCGCAAACTCTCTTTGCTGAGTGCTATGCTGATGAGATTGCTTTGAATGCAATGGCACCTCACTCACTGTAGCTTGGGCACTAGTGAGATAAGCATTTTCTAGAACTGGACCTGTCAGCAACAATTCACCATTTACAATTAAATACAGAGATTACATGTAATTATGATTGAAGTGTTTTTTCTGGCATCAGAAAATGTCTACACAAAGTTTGATGTTTTGGAAAATTAAACAGCAAGATAATATCACCAGTATAGAGACTTACGTGACATATAATGCAAAGACTTTCATAATGATGAAAGCCCGGTTGCTGAGAGCATCCAGATAGGACTTGTGGGCTGACAATGAACTTTAAAAAAAAGATCAGTACATGCAAAAAAGGGGACACCCACAGTTTGCTTAACAGAGGGACACATGAGCAATTAAATGTACATAATGAATGTGAAAGAAAAGATCCTGACAGCTGTACAGAAAGAACATGAAATGGACAGGATGGTAGCTGCCCTCTTTTTTAGTATACAGCAGATGTGCAACCCATGTAACCTATAGGTCTCAATATGCAGTGCTCCAATTTGATGCAAGTTGAGGCTGGTGGATCAAGGAGGATTGCATGCTGGGACTTGTGGTCTCCACTGACTGCAACCCAGAATTAAAGATGAGGGCTGCTGCAGGACACATTATGGAGCTCGATGAGCAGCACTTCGGCCACTCTTGTTGCAATATTCTTCTTTCCTTGTGCCTTGGAAAATGCCTATAATCTTATTTTTTGGTTAATCTTCTCATATTCAGATTAAATGATTATATAAAACTGGCTGAACTGGTCATGATTTGAGATATCTATGGTTATTATACCACATGCAATTGGAATCAGCCATTCAGACTACTGCAGGAGAGTCTCTTATTTGCTGAGAAAAAAGTTAAACAAAACAAAGAAAAGCTTCAGACATCAGTTTATTCCTAAAATGCAGGAAACTTTATTCATAAAAGAAATTTGAAAAAAATGTTTCTGATTGACTGACCTATAGAATCTAGTATTTAAGGCAATCAGAATGCTGCATTTCAGGAATAGTCAATGGCATGCCCTTCTCAGCCAGTTTCTGTCAGGTCCAATGATCTATTCAATTTCACTTTTAGAGCTGTTAGGAATAAAAGAAACAGTGATGGTCATAATATAAATATTGCTCACTTAGAAGTGACCATAGGAGCTTTTCTCACATCCCTAATGATGGGGGATTTTTATTTGGTAAACGGGTAGTCATAGGGTAATGAGCAGCAGAACAATTAACAGGAACTGGGATCCATCAGCCTTGAACGAGAATTATCCTGCAGAGTAAAAGGGTGGCTTTAGAAGCATGGGGCTTGTTCCTACTCTTTGTTCACTGAACACTGCTTACAGTTGCACAGGGGCATCAGGCTTATACCCTCTCTTCTTTCTCTGAACTTTTCCTTAGACAGGAGAGTTACTCTGCAGGGTAAGAGATGGCATAGACTGTACCTGTCCTTCCTTCTCTGAATTAATCTTAATATATGCTGCATGAGCACAGGGGCGCTGTGAGATCCAAGGCACCTGGGCACTAAAGCACTATTAATCTGATCCCCACTGCAGGAGTTCCTAGTCACAGTGATGCTTAGCTGCTAAGGAGCAGGATTAGCTCTCACACATCATCTCCCATCAAGAGTCTCTATGCAGCATTAATACTGATAACAAAGACATCACACGTTATCCTTGCCTTCCCCCAGTGCACATGCAGAGATCTCCCTTCCAAAAGGGTCATGGTCCCTATCAGCTACTGTAAAGCCCCCAAATCTACTATTTGCTTCTTGTTAAGGCCACAGATCTCTCGTCTCCTGTTCCCCTTCTGTCCCCAGGATACTTCTCATGATTCCACATCCAAGTCCGCTGTCTCCATCATTCACATGCCAATTTGCTGTCAAAGCTAGAGAGTCCAATGGCAAAGGCCTGGAGGGCACACAGGGGGTAATTATAGTCCAGAGTGAACACGTCTTCTGCTACACGACCAAACTGCATCACTATGTAGTCAGCTAGGGAGACAGAAAGAGGGGGTCAGAGACCAACTACTTCAAAGAGAGAGAGGTAAGAGGAGAAAGAGGGAAACAGTTCCAAATACACCTGACTGGAGAGAATATCAGTCTCTCTATTCACTATTGCCAGAGTGGCTCAGAATCTGCTTTTCTACAATAGTCCTGCTGACTTCTTTTACAGAGAAATCCCATACCTATGCTTTGGCTGGGACAGCAATCCCATATTACTCTCCTTTCCATCTTCAGCAGAAGGCCTGCATTCGCCTCTCCTCTGATGCAGCTATCCTG